AGAGGGGATGCTGAATGTCGTCTGTATCCGCGGGTGATTGGGTGGAGGAGGAGGAGGGGGTGGGGGGAGGAGGAGGGGCTGAGGGAGAAGGAGAGGGCTGAGGGAGGAGGAGGGGGCTGAGGGAGAAGGAGAGGAGGAGAGGGGTGAGGGAGAAGGAGGGAGGGGGAGAAGGAGGGGGTAGGGGAGGAGGGAGGGAGGTGAGGGAGAAGGAGGGGTGGGGAGGAGGAGGGGATGAGGGGAGGAGGAGGGGAGGAGGGAGAGGGAGAAGGAGGGAGTGGAGGAGAAGGAAGGGGTGGGGGAGGAGGAGGGAGGTGAGGGAGAAGGAGGGGTGGGGGGGAGGAGGAGGGGTGAGGGAGGAGGAGGGGGGTGGGGGAGGAGGAGGGGTGGGGGGAGGAGGGAGGGAGAGGAGAAGGAGGGGTGAAGGAGGAGGGAGGAGGTGGACAGGAAGGAAGGATAGGAGAGAGGTAAGGGAGGGAAGATGTGAATAGAAGAGAGAGGGAGAGAAATAAAAAGGGGAACAAGAAAGAGGAAAAGAAGGGGAGAGTGAGTGAGAGGGAGGAAAATAAGAAGGAAGGGTAAGGGGAAAGGCGCGAGAGAGAGGTAAGGAAAAGGAGGGTAGGGGAGGACATAAAAGAGACGAGAGGGGGGAGGGGAGGGTAGGGGAGGACATGAGAGGGGGGAGGGGAGGGTAGGGGACGACATGAGAGGAGGGAGGGGAGGGGAAGGGAGGGGGAACGAGGTTGGGACCAGTAAAAATTACATCCCATAAAGAGAGAAAAGAGGAAGTCGACGTTCATTAAGGTGCCGTAAGTCAGGGGAAATCTGCAGACGCCTGGTGGGGAATATTATGAAAGCTGCAGGGGAGGATAGCGTATAGCAGCGGGACGACAGGGAAAAACACTCCTCTCTTTATGGGTAGTGGCTAATGTTACCATATTGGAATGTTATATCGTCTTAATAGTTAAAGTTTAGTTAAGTTAGGTTAGGTTATGTTAGGTTAGGTATCCTTCACTCTGTTAAGTGTTCCGATATTTCATTTGTTGATGGTACCATATCGGAACATGATGCCGATAAGGTTAATATACCGATAAGTAATAACAATGGGAATTTTGTTTCCAGCTCCAAGTCGTTATTGTTGTGATAATACAACGTTTTTCTCCCCCTTCTTTATACGTTACGAAAAGGAAAAAGAGATATAGTGACCATAAAGATAAAATATAAGCCGTAGAAAGTCTGAGAAAGAGAATGAAGTTGTAGAGGAAGAAAAAAGGACACAAATGGAAGATGAAGATTATACTTTGGATGACTCTGGTGAACGACAGAGAGAACACTCGTGGTCGAGAAGCTGTTTGTCTGATGGTCGCAGGAACACTAAAGCTCTCCAAAAATTGTGACCATGATTCTGAAGGTGTTGGATCAGAGAGAAGCCGCCGGGGGAGGAACCAGGATGTTGAGGGGGATGGAAGAAAGACGCCTCATGATCCTTGGAAAGTTGGACGAGGGGGTGGGAAACGGCAAGGCTGGACCAAGACTAAGGGTGTTGATCAGGGAAGAACCTAAGGGACATGATCAAGGGAGGAGCCTTAGGTCAAAGAGGGACCATAACCCTAAGGGAGATCGGGTAAAAAAACCCAGAGAGGGACCACGATTCATAAGGGAGTTAATCAGGAAAGAGCCTGAGGAAGGGAGGAACCATTGCGGTTGGAGGAGAAGGAGGAGGAGGAGACGACCGCGCGCGTGGTAAACGAAAAGAATGTCTTGTCTGACGCTGTTAGATTAAAACAATTATGTCGGTCTTCCTACATTTGGGGAGTTGATGAGAAGAGGCAGAGAGAGAGAGAGGGAGGGAGGGAGGGGGGCGGGGTCAGAGAGACGTAAGAGGCCCCCTGGGAGAGACCCGCCTGAAGTGTGAAGGTGAGAGGATGGATCCTTATAGACTGGTGAACATTGGTAAAGGGGAAGGAACGCTTATTGCCAGTACGGTATTAATCTAATGAGAACGAGTGTTGTGGGCTTTCCTTTTCAACTTTATAAGAACGAAGGAGGCAGGAGAGGAGAGAGAGGCATTACTAGGCCCGGAGGTGTGAGGACATTGCTGGAGAACAAGAGTTGGACAGTGCTACGTCGTATGTGCTTGTCAACGCCCTACACGAATCTCATGGTAAAAATAATTAGTGGTTTGTGAGAGAGCGAAAGATACTCCTAGACGTTGGTGTCCAGTGAGAGAGACCCGTTACTGACTGGCTGCTGTTCCATGAGAAATATAAATGTGAAAGGAAACAAACAACAATCTAGCTATATTACCATGACAAGGAGAAACAGGATGAAACATGATAAAGAATAATAGAACATAATCGATACATTTAGGGAAAGATGAAAGTAGACTGACGAAGATGACTACCGAATGTTACAACTGAGGATATATAGAAATGTTATGGCGTTCTGAGTTAAAGTGACCATAACACTACAATCTAAAGGAACACCGAATGACGTCAGCTACAACTGCACTTAAGAAGATAAACTAACATGTATAAAACGTGGAAGTGAAAGATCTGGGAGTCACAGAGGGTTAAGCTAATCACTATAATGAAGGAAAATCAACGACGCAGTTGAGGTTCATTCAATCTTCTGATCTTTCTTCCTTTGGTGCTGAGCTTCTACATTTAGATGTGTCGGGTTACACACACACGCACACACGCACACACACACACGCACACACGCACACACACACACACACACACACACACACACACACACACCCTGGTTTAAGTTTACACATCACATGAAGATTAGGCACTCCATCGCTACTCATGTTAAATTAGATTATGGTGGGTAATCTTCAGGTGAATTCAAGTTTGTTTTAGTATCAGATTAGCTACACACTCTGCCTTGTAAGACCACAAAGTCGTTGCTGTATTACTTGATGCTCCGGAAACTTTTGCTTCTGTGACAAATGTTATCATTATTGTATTACGCTGTTGCTGTTATTGTTGTGTTACTTGTTGTTCTTAATGAGATGCCGATCTGTTCTTGGTGTTGGTGTTCACTTGCTGCTACAGTAGATTTTGTAGTTGTATGGCTTATCCTGTATTCTATTACCGTTGACAACATTTACTACGAGTTAGTTAAGTTCTCTGTCGTTGCGGTGTTCATGAACCGTTGTTTGGGAGCGCTTTCAACACACCTCCATGGTTTCTTAATTTTGTTCTCCTATTTTCGTCTCCTGGGTTAATTGCTTTCTGGATTTTCGTCGGTGAAAAATAAAAATTCATAGCCACTGGAGGACTTGATGGCCAAGACTGTGATCAGCGGCGGTGAGGCCTCAGAAGGCTGGCGGTAGAAAGGAAAAGAATGGTTTGGGGTGGTGTGTGATATCTGACAAATGCTGCCCGCTGATTGAAGGAAGCCGAACACCTTCTGCTTATTACCAACGTCTCTCTCTCTCTCTCTCTCTCTCTCTCTCTCTCTCTCTGGGTGGGTGGGTGTAAATTTATCCACAAAAAAATAGCATTATATGTTTTTTTCTCAACATTAAAGTTAGTCGGTCAGCCATTCAGTCTGTAAGAATTCAGTCAGATGGTCAACCTTTCAGTCAGTTAATCCGTGTTTAGTCGGTTAATCAGTCTATCAGTCAGTCAATCAATCAGTCTTTAGTCAGTCAGACAGTGTATCAGTCTGTCAGTCAATTAGTCCATCAGTGTTCGGTCAGTCAATCAATCAATCAGTCACACCAACCAACCTGAAACCATCAACAAACACAAACACTTTCCATTATATTTTTCCCCCCAAATGCAAATACATATTAATTATTTAGAAATATCTGAAAAGTGGACAGGCTAATGCTGCAATCGGATTACCTGGGGCTGGTACAGGAGGGGTCAAGGGGGGGTGAGGGATGGCACTGATATTGTCCGGTGACACTCATGATGCCAGGCACTGTTGGTATTGACGGAGGGGGGAGAGGTGTGTGTGTGTGTGTGTGTGTGTGTGTGTGTGTGTGTGTGTGTGTGTGTGTGTGTGTGTGTGTGTGTGAAGAGTACAGTGGTGTGGAATGTAGAGGATGGGTAGGTGGAGGAGGGGAAGGGGGAGAGAGAGAATGAAGGGAGGCGGATTTGTGATGGTGAGAGAAAGAGAAAGTAGAGATGTGGGAAGAGAGACAGAGAGGACAGGTGAATCTGTGATAGGGAGAGAGAGAGAGAGACAGACAGAGAAAGAGAGAGGGAAAGACAGACACAGAGAAAGGGGGAAGAGACAGAGAGAGCTGTAAAGGAAAAGTAATAGAGAATGAAAAAAACAGGAAGTGAGACAGACAGAGAGAGTTAGTTGTAAATTGCTCACCCATTAATATTTTAAACTACGTTGATGAGGTGAAATAAAACCAAGCATTTATTTGACCATCATTTACTTTGGCAATAAATTATTCGTATGTATATAAACTTCATTTTCACTGATGATATTCAAAAGTAGTCTTAAAAATGTCAGGTGTATCTATTTTGATATAAGACCTGGTACTCTCTCTCTCTCTCTCTCTCTCTCTCTCTCTCTCTCTCTCTCTCGTTTAATCACGTTTAATTTCTCTTTAGTAATATTTTATTGTCTGTTGCAGTAGCTATGTATAATAGAGGTATATTTCACTCATGTATATCAAAATATATTTCATGCGTTTCATTTGCGGGTTTTTTTTTTTTTGCGTGCGTGATTGCGTGTGTGTTTGTCATCTTTACCTTGTTTATATGTGTGTTTTTTGTCTGTGTGTTTGTTTAAGTTTATGTTCGTAGTTATGCCTTTGTTAGTTTATTTGTTATTTGTGTATGTATGTAAAAGTTTCACCAGCCAATACTGACTCAACATTTACTGTTTTCAATTATCATCCACAATTTACCTTCACCTCCCAACACACACACACACACACACACACACACACACACACACACACACACACCCATCCCAGACCATTGATATTCACAAAACTGATGTTCTTTTTTGTGGTGTTCCTACAGTGCCACCCAACATCGTGGACAGCGAGAGTTCTGGGGACGTGATGGTGCAAGAAGGTGCCAACATCACCCTCACCTGTAGTGCCATTGGTACCCCCACACCTTCCATCACCTGGCGGCGAGAAGACCACCTGAGCATTAACCTCAACAAGACTTACCGAGGTGAGATACTGTCAACTTTGAGAAGAGAGAGACGGATAGAGATCGATATAGACAGTCAGACAGAAAAGAGGAGAGAAAGAGACAGACAGACATATAGAAAGAGAGAGGGAGACAATATTATATACATGTCTGTCTATCTGTCTGTCTGTCTGTTTGACTTATGTATACGTCTATTAATTTTTACATAGCGTCTTTTTAGATGTAATGATTCTTATTCACATCCCCATCATTTCACCCTCTTGTTTGTTTTTAGTTATAGATACAAAAAAAAATTTCTTCGTCGTCTCATTTTCATCAACCAGCTTCCGTCTCAGAGCCTTGTTGGTAATAAGACTTTGCTAATTAATGACTCGTCTTTGAGAATAAATATTTCATTTGTGTCTATACCTTGAAGGCATTCCTCTCCGTCAAAGTTATTATTAATCTCCTCACGTCAATTTTCTGCATTGTTCGTCACGTTCATTGCCATGTTCATCATCATGTTCATCGTCATGTTCTCCATGTTCATTACTCTTGAGGTGTCCAAGGAGAAGGCTCTCTCTCCTAAAGGGTTGGCTGCTTAACGTGACCGGAATTAGACCGTAGCTACTGCACTCACTGTACACTAGTTAACACCGTGCAATAATGAGCAGTATGTACTAGTGAGCTCTGTGCACTAGTTAACACCGTGCAATAATGAGCAGTATGTACTAGTAAGCTCTGTGCACTAGTTAACACCGTGCAATAATGAGCAGTATGTACTAGTAAGCTCTGTGCACTAGTTAACACCGTGCAATAATGAGCAGTATGTACTAGTAAGCTCTGTGCACTAGTTAACACCGTGCAATAATGAGCAGTATGTACTAGTAAGCTCTGTGCACTAGTTAACACCGTGCAATAATGAGCAGTATGTACTAGTGAGCTCTGTGCACTAGTTAACACCGTGCAATAATGAGCAGTATGTACTAGTAAGCTCTGTGCACTAGTTAACACCGTGCAATAATGAGCAGTATGTACTAGTAAGCTCTGTGCACTAGTTAACACCGTGCAATAATGAGCAGTATGTACTAGTAAGCTCTGTGCACTAGTTAACACCGTGCAATAATGAGCAGTATGTACTAGTAAGCTCTGTGCAATTACTTAAGCATCACGTATCAAGCTCTGGTCAAACTAAGCCCCGACTTAATCTCGCTTACTCTCGCTTAATCTCGCTTACTCTCGCTTATCGCTTACTCTCGCTTACTCTCGCTTAATCTCGCTTACTCTCGCTTACTCTCGCTTAATCTCGCTTACTCTCGCTTACTCTCCTTAATCTCGCTTACTCTCGCTTACTCTCGCTTACTCTCGCTTACTCGCTTACTCCTGCTTACTCTCGCTTACTCTCGCTTACTCTCGCTTAATCTCCTTCTCTCGCTTACTCTCGCTTAATCTCGCACTCTCGCTTACTCTCGCTTACTCTCGCTTAATCTCCTTACTCTCGCTTACTCTCGCAATCTCGCTTACTCTCGCTTACTCTCGCTTACTCTCCTTAATCTCGCTTAATCTCATCGCCAACAATCTCGCTTACTCCTCAATCTCGCTTACTCGCTTAATCTCGCTTAATCTCGCTTACTCTCGCTTAATCTCGCTTACTCGCTTACGCCCAATTTCTCGCCCTCTCTAATCTCGCTTACTCTCTTACTCTCGCTTACTCTCGCTTAATCTCGCTTACTCTCGCCTCTCGCTTACTCTCGCTTACTCTCGCTTACTCTCGCTTTCTCTCTAATACCAGTAACTCAACCCAGAGATCTAAGTGTCTCCTCCAGCTACCAGAAGCACAACAGTAAACAAATATAAACTAACCTGGAAAATACTGTGACTAAAGTGATATATTTTTCCCTGATTAATTCTTGTAAGTTTTTGTTTTTTATAATACTTGCTTTTTATCTCTCTCTCTCTCTCTCCAAAAAAAGATGCAAAAGGATTTTTTTCAGATATCCGATCTTGTTCAAAATCTCACTAATGATACTTCTGAACATAGTGATTTAAGTGTCTAGGGTCGAGAAGATGTGGAATAATTAGTTTTGTAATCATTTTATAGTCATCATACTCGTCATTATGTTCAATTTCATCATTATTTTCTTGTTCATAATTTTGTTCATGTTCATCATGTTTTTAAACCTTTTGTTTATTATGTTCATTATTATGGTCATCATATTTATCAGTACCCGTCACCATACCTAAATCAGTCACTATACCCATCACTATCCATCCTACCCATCACCATACGTAAATCGAGTCACTATACCCATTACTATCCATCCCTACCCATCACCATACCTAAATCAGTCACTATACCTATTATTATCCATCACTACCCATCATCCCAGTACCCATCATCCATCCCTACCCATCACCACACTTATATCGGTCACTATACCCATCACTATTCATCACTATCCATCACTATACCGTCAGTACCATCACTATACCGCCAGTACCCAGCCCTACCCATCAGTACCCATACTATACCGCCAGTACCCATCACTATGTCCTCCATTACAGTGATGGAGTATAATGGAGCCAGTCTACAGCTCGCACGCGTCAGCAGGATGGATATGGCCGCTTATCTGTGCATCGCCCGCAACGGTGTTCCTCCCATCGTCAGCAAGCGGATCCAAGTCAGCGTCGACTGTGAGTGTCAGCAGTCACCCACCCACCTTAATACCCACCACACACACACCCACTCCCCCGCCCATACACACACCCACTCCCGCCCATACACACACCCACTCACACCCAGTCACCAAACACTCCCACCCAATCTCACCTAATCATGACCGTTCACTACACACACACACACACACACACACACACATACATAGGAAACTGTCACTTAAACTTGAATAATCTTTTGTTATTTATTACTCTATGTGCTTTTGTTTTAACCGTATATTAAACAAAAGAACGTAGAGTATGATGGAAAAAAAGTATGATGCTCATAATATCTTTTGAATCTTTGTGTTAATTTATTGTCTTATACCTGTGGCCATAACCTATAAGTCTCTCTGGGAACACAATGATTCCTGAAGGTGTTAAAAAGAGTCAATTACTATTAATATTCCTCTAATTTTATGGCCACTGAAGGTTTAATGGTCTTCTTCTTCTTCTTCTTCTTCTTTCTTCATCTTCTTCTTCTTCTTCTTCTTCTCCTTTTACTCCTCCTCTTCCCACCCTCTTCCTCCTCCTCTCCTTCTCCCCTCCTCCTCCCTTCCTCCTCCACCCTTACTCCTCTTTCTCCCCTTCTTCTACTCTCCTCCTTCTACAAAATCTCTACATAACTAACATCGCTACACTTTCTTCACTCTCTGCTCTGTCACCATTGTACTCGTATATAGGTTGATAGTGATGAGATGGCTTGGTCACCTCAGGTATTGGTAACATTCGAGGCTTGTGATTCCATTTTAGCGAAAGATTGTGAACTGTGGTAAGAATGTTTATGCTGTCAGGAACCTCTTGAGTATCGTGTTTGTTTATATTGATAGTTTATATTAAGAACCATCAGATGTTTATGAATGTATATATGAAAGATGGTTGTTGGTGCACTGAAGAGTTTGAATGTGTTAATGATTTCGACTGGATTTTAGTATTCAAGAGGGTTTATTATTAAAGTCACACACACACACACATACACACACATCCACACACACACACACACACACACACACACACACACACACACACACACACACACTCCCCGGGGATCTGGTTCCTGTAACAATTTTATGGACAATAATTCGGAACAGGAAGAGCCATTCCAGTAATTGGAGAATCCCCGTCAACCTCTATATGTTGTTTTATATCCCTGTAGTGTTGCCTTGTGTGGCTGAGGGACCACCAGCCCCATATAACCATATCACGACCCACCACAAGTTACCGTCTCCTGCCTGTAACACAAATGACTCTACTGTAGTGTGACGGTAACATGGTATTGCAGCAGTTGAGTTGAGGAAATAATTTAAAGAACTCAAAAAATTTAAATTTATAGAAATACAGTGACTAAATTTATACTGGGTTTATTTTTTGGCGTCCAGGTGCTTAAAGTTTAGTACATTGATTATTTTTGGGGCGTATGTAGGTGTGAGAAGATTCTTAACTGGTTTAATTAATCTACAGGTAAGGTTTATAAATAATACCTAAAAGGGCATCAGAATTACTCATACAAATACGATATCTATTCACTTTTCTCCACTTATGTGATAAAAGTCATTTATATAATGTTGTGAATCCGCCCACAGTCCCGCCAATATACTGTAGTACACTTCTCGAGCCACCCACATTCCCGCCCATATACTGTAACACATGTCTCGTACCGCCCACAGTCCTGCCCATATACTGTAACACATATCTCGTGCCGCCCACAGTCCCGCCCATATACTGTAACACATATCTCGTGCCGCCCACAGTCCCGCCCATGATGAGCATCCCTCACCAGCTGGTCGGGGCGCCCCTCAGTTACAGCATCACCCTGGAGTGTACCATCGAGGCCCACCCACCCGCCCTCACCTACTGGACCCGGGGCCAGGGCGTCATGCTTCACCAGGGCCGCAAGTACCACATCACAGAACGGGTAACTAATGCCTTGTGCCTCGTCCTAGTGCCTCTCTCCTCCTCCTTTCTTGTCCTCTCTCTCTTTTGCGAAGTCTCCCCTGATTTCCCTGCTCCCGCCTTATCAGTTCGTCATTCTTCTTTATTTTACTAATTTATGTTTATTTCTTATCTGTATGAGTTTGGAGTGACCCGGTACTGCCTCACCACTCTTCACCGGTACTGCCTCACCACTCCTCACCGGTACTGCCTCACCACTCCTCACCGGTACTGCCTCACCACTCCTCACCGGTCTACTTCCTCACCACTCCTCACCAAACACCTTCTCCTTCACCCCCCTCACTTCCTCCCGTACTTCCCTCCACATCACTAAGAGAACTCGAGTTTTTTTTTTACATAATATGAACTCTAGATGTCAAGTACGTTTGTTTAGTAGTTTTAATGACCTTCGATTTTTTTTTTCGTTAACTGGTCGTAGGTTTTATAATTAAAGATTCTGAAGTTTATATTAATTTAAGAAATTATTATAAATTATTATAATTTTATCTTTTCCTATATTGAATGTCTTTCTTGGTCTAAATAAAGTGTGTTTTGTAAAGTCGATGTAAACTTTGAAACTTTTATATTTTTGTATGGATATATGATAAAAACTCACTGTAAATGGCAAATAAAGGAGAAATTTAATTACTCTAAGCATAACTACGCCATACATATTTTTTTTTAACCTATCATCCGTCATATAGGTTCAAGGACTAGGAAATTAAACACGACAATATAAATAATACCGAAGAGTTGGTGTTATGTTCCACTGTTTTATTTTCTATGTTGTTATTGTCGCTTCCTGTTTCATTATTACCTTCTCTCTTATTATTTTTTCTCTCTTTATCTGAGTCCTAAGTAACTAATGTCTCTAGCCTGAAATAAGGGAACACCAATATTAGACATAACACAAAATCAACGATGGTCTGCTACCGTGTTTAACTATGTAATCCTGTATCATGAAATAGGGTGTTTATGTCTTAAGTAATTGTCTGCTGAAACCTTATTAATTTTTTTTTATATCCCATTTATAAATTACTAATACCTAATTTTCAAGACTCAAATTTTGCCCCTATAATTAAAATTCAGATTAACTTAGCAAAGATGTCAACTCCATATAGATTATACTGTAATAACTTCTATTTTGGTTCGAAAACTTCGTACGTCAACCATCGGTAACCATGATGCCCTTATTGGTGCCGGCAGACTGGAGAGGTGTCGTACCGCACACACATGAAGCTGACCATCAGGAGCCTGAGGCGAGAGGAAGACTACGGCCCTTACAAGTGTGTGGCCAAGAACTCCCGCGGCGAGACGGAGGGACTCATCAAGCTCTACGGTGAGTGAGACGGAGAGGGGAACACGATGAGAAGGATAAAGGGGAGTAATGAGTGAGTGGGGGTGGAATGGGTATAGGCGATGAGAGGGGGTTGTATTGTGACTATCAGTAAGTTAATAATGATAGTGGTGAAAGAAGAAATGGCATAAAAACAATTAAATCGGGTGATTATGGGGTAGAGAGTGGATAGGGAGAAGGAATAGGTAGGAAGAGGCAGGATAGTGGAGGAGAGAGGAGTACTGTACCCGGCAATAGGAGCTATACTGTATATTGCTCTCATAACCTGTACAATACATGACCACAAGAACGTTTATTGACCATGGAGGGTGTTGGCTGCTGGAGGAGAAGGAGGTGGGTGATAACAAGTTCTAAGTCACGTACTAGAGTTAACGATCACGACACACACACACACACACACACACACACACACACACACACACACACACACACACACACACACACACACACACACACACACACACACACACACGCACACACACACACACACACACACACACACACGCACACACACACACACACACACACACACACACACACACACACACAAAAGTGGTCAATCTTTCTTGCTTTTGTATGTGCTAATAGTAATATACAACATAAGGATAAAAAAGTAATAGACAAATACTGATAATACACTAAAGAGAGAGATAGACAGATAAGTGGACATAAATATATATAAAAAAAACGACACCTGGTAAGAGACAGAGAAAGTCTTGAGAGAGGAAAATGCCAGTAAAGAGGAAGAACATCGAGGTAAATGAGTTAAGAGGGAGAGAAGGGGAAGGAGGGGGAGACAGAGACATAGAGACCGGGGAGGAGAGAGGGACGGGAGGGGAGACAGAGACATGGAGACCGGGGAGGAGAGAGGGATGGGAGGGGAGGGGAGAGGAGGGAGGAGAGAGGGACGGGAGAGAGGGGAGACAGAGACATAGAGACCGGGAGGAGAGAGGGACGGAGGAGGGAGACAGGAGAGCATAGAGACCGGGGAGGAGAGGGACGGGAGGAGGGAGACAGAGACATGAGACCGGGAGGAGAGAGGACAGGAGGGGAGACAGAGGAGGGGAGACAGAGACATGGGAGGGGGGAGGAGAGAGGGACGGGAGGAGGGAGACAGAGACTGGAGACCGGGGAGGAGAGGGACGGGAGGAGGAGAGACATGGAGACCGGGAGGAGAGGGGACGGGAGGGAGGGGGAGACAGACATAGGACTGGGAGAGGAGGACGGGAGGAGGGGAGACAGGAGACATGGAGAGGGAGGGACGGGAGGAGACAGAGACATGGGGAAGGGAGGAGAGGGACAGGAGGAGGGGGCAGACATGGAGACAGGAGGAGGGGGAGACAGAGACATGGAGACCGGGGAGGAGAGAGGGACGGGAGGAGGGGGAGACAGAGACATGGAGAGAGAGAGGGACGGGAGGAGGGGAGACAGGAGACATGGGAGACTGGGGGAGGAGAGAGGACGGGAGGGCTACAGAGTGGAGAGAGACAGAGGGAGACGAGATAGACATGGAGGAGAGGGACAGGAGGGCCATGTGTGGTATATAGACAGAGTATCGAATAACATAGTTGATTTATATACAGGTGTGCAAAGCCAACAAAAAAATCGTATACTATTTAAGAGAAAAAAAAAGATATGTATTGATTTCTTAGCATTATATAAACGTTGGATGGTTATTTTACCTCAGGTCCAGGAAGATTACAAAGATTGATATGAATGAGGCAACGTAAATAAAGGAAAGGAGTGAAGAGATGAAGCAAGTGTGGGTTAAGTGACCAAGAAAAATTTTATTTAATGGAGTGAATTTATGATGATCGAGGAAATTTCCAAAAGTTTTTTTTTTTTTTAAAGACTGCGCTAATCATATATGTTGGATGATTTAGAGGAAATTGGAGAGGTTGAAATTAGTCAGAAGAATGAGAGGAGGTGGGGAGGGTAGTAATGAGGAGGATGGAGCCATAAACATAAAAGATATCTCACATAAAGGCATAATATACGACGTGTAGAGACGGAAAAGGTAGAAAAATAAAATTAACTAAAACCAGGATAACTCTCTCAGTACTTATAGGTAAAAGATCGTAGTTACCTGTCAGGAAATGGTGATCTACTCCCGTTATTACCATGTCAGCGTCTCAATTAATGCGATACACGGCTGTTACTCAATACGTTCGTCACCCTTCAGTCACTTTGTTACTTTCAATCTGTTCTCTTTCCTCTGAAGCCAACGTGTAGTGCAGCGCCAATTTACCGGGTGTACAACAAGAGAGGGCGGCTTTTACAACACTGCCTGGCTGCCAACGGTGGGGTGGGGTGGGGGGTCGGTCAATCTTTGAAAGCTAACACGGGATGGTTGTGGGGGATGAAACAACGTCTAGTGTAGTTGATTAAAATTGGCATGTACAGAGGACAGCAGCTTCAAAGAATAACCTATTGTAAATTTAAATTGTACAGCAAACAATTTACACAGACTGAGCTTTACAAATAACTATAATGAGATTGTTCACATATTTCGTATACTTTACTCATACACCTAAATATTTATACTAATGTCTTTCAGGTTGGTTTTAATACGAGTTAAAAGAACAAGCATTGACCTCCCACTCCGACCTGTGATAGTGACAGAGTTTATTAAAGAAGAGCTATAGAGATTTGACCATCATGAACATAGATAATTTACTGATGGAATAACGCCCAGCTGTAATGACTGCAACAAAAGACTAGCCTCTCTCATAACCTATCCACCAACCTGCTCTATCGTTATCCACCTCACTACCAATTCATCAAGCGACATTTCCCATCAGGATATGACACTTTACATCTCTCTTCATGGAATATAAACCTATCTGACTGTAAAAATGCAATACGTAGAACAATATTGCATTATCAAAAGTGTTGTGCAGGAAAGTGGGACGAAGAGTTTAGCTGATAGATGGCTCGGTATAATCCAGTTGTAAAGTCTGCTGGGTAATAATTAATAATCGTCCTGTTTAGATGCAAAGTTTACATAATACGGATTTATATGATCTCCAGCGAGTTGGGGAGGTTGGCAAGTTTACAAGTTATGTGATCATGATAGGAAATATCTTATAGTGGTTTGTGTAACAGCGAAAAGTATGGGACTTGATGAAAAGAGATTGAGAGAGATGATAGAGAAATGTAGTCTCAGTATAAAAGAAATGACAGAGAAAAACAGGAAAAGAAAAAGAGTAAAGACAAAGGCAAAGAGAGACAAAAAGAGAAATAACAGAAATAATGACAAAGATGCAAAGACAGAAAGACCCCCAGGGTAAACAGCGGGGGAGCAGCTGGGGAGAGAGTGGGGGCTGGGGGAGAGATGGGGGAGGCGGTGTCAAGGTGGGTGTAGGAGGGCGGAAGGCTCGGGCAATTAGGCATCCCGTTTATCATCTTTTGCCGCCCGAGTCCGCCGAAATACGGCTGCTGGCAGGAAGAGACAGTGTAATTAGCAGAGATTTCGGTGGGTCGAACCGCTCTGCCTCATGTTATTCATCTTACTTTCCACAACGGACTCTGGCGGTGTGTTTTCTCTGGGGAGGGGAGAGGTGGGAAGGGGGGAGGGGGGAGATACAGCTTCCGTTTTCCATCGTCCGCACACACACACACACACACACACACACACACACACACACACACACACACACACACCGTTGTTTGCATCAGTTTTCATTCACATTTTATCTCTGACGGGAAATGATATACCAAATCCTAATGACTTTATGGTTTATGTGGTTTAGAGTAAAAGTCGTTTCCTGAGAAATCTTCGTATGGCAATCCTTTAAAATTTTTGTTTCGACGACAGGAGTCAACCTTTATTCCCACCACCAATACAGTTTGTTGATGAACTTGTCTATAATGCTTGTGATGCTTTTTATGTGGTTATCCTTTCACTTCTGCTCTCCGGTAAGGGGAAAAATGTACTTTATTCTTGTGATAATAGACTGAGGTTTGTTGTCATAGAACTGTCGCGTGGGCACCATTTTCATATTCATAGTTTGAAGGAAAAATATTAAGTATATCTGAATGTATCTGTCAACTGTGCGCCCACTCGGTGTTTGTCTGTGTGAGTGTATGTCAACTTTTCTTGGCCTGAGCATAATTCTTGTTACATGAGACAAAATACAAAATATCAAATCAAACTCCGTTTCTCTTGGTCACAGGTGAATATAAAAGGTCATCTTTTTTTTCGACTGTCCTTGTCTGGTTCCTCACACTAAGAGTGACTTGTATACAGAGGCGATACTCTTGCCTTGTGTGTTACGACTCTGTGTCTCTCTTGGAATTAGGATAAAACGCTACAGGCACCGGTGGGAGCTAGTTACATCTTTCTCTATCAGGGGGTGACGAGGTGAGCAGAAGAGCCCATCTCCCTCCTGCTCCTCCTCCTCCTTCCCTACCTCCCTCCCTCCTCCTCCTTCCCTACCTCCCTCCCTCCATCCTCATCCTCCTCCCAGGGATAACCGAGTTAGCGGACTGTTGTTGTCACTCGTGTGTGTGTGTGTGCGTGTGTGTGTGCTGGTTAGTGTGTGCTATAGTAACAGTGTGAAATGTAATGTCACTATACATGTGTAGTATGTTTACCTAGCCGTGTATATATTCCCAGTCGTGTCAATTAACAAGTTTACAAGTCAATGTGTGTTTGTACATACACTTATACCCCAGAACGGCGTTAAATACAGTACGTGTGTTTACGTGGGAGCTTGTATCAACATGGGCTCACACACCACCGTCAGGGCAGGTACTGTACGTGAACGAGTGTGTGAAAACGTGCGGCAAAAGTCGCCTTGGAGAGCAAAAAGAGCTTTTATTATTCAAATTTTTGGCTGGCCGGCGTCGACCACCCGTAAATCACTGCAGGCAAAAGTTGGGTTCAGTAAACTTCTCTAAATTATCGGCATTCCTCGCTACTGTGTTGCCTAGCGTGGGTTGTGTTGTGTTGCCTGGCGTGGGTTGTGTTGTGTTGCCTGGCGTGGGTTGCGTTGTGCTGCGTGGGTTGCGTTGTGTTGCCTGGCGTGGGTTGCGTTGTGTTGCCTGGCGTGGGTTGTGTTGTGTTGCCTGGCGTGGGTTGCGTTGTGCTGCGTGGGTTGCGTTGTGCCTGGCGTGGGTTGCCTGTGGGTTGCGTTGTGTTGCCTGGCGTGGGTTGTGTTGTGTTGCCTGGTGTGGGTTGTGTTGTGTTGACTGGCGTGGGTTGTGTTGTGTTGCCTGGCGTGGGTGTGTGGCTGTTGCCTGGGTTGCGTAGGTTGCGTTGTGTTGCCTGGCGTGGGTTGTGTTGTGTTGCCTGGTGTGGGTTGTTTGTGTTGCCTGGTGTGGGCTGTGTTGTGTTGCCTGGCGTGGGTTGTGTTGTGTTGCCTGGTGTGGGTTGTGTTGTGTTGCCTGGCGTGGGCTGTGTTGTGTTGCCTGGCGTGGGTTGCGTTGTGCTGCGTGGGTTGCGTTGTGCTGCGTGGGTTGCGTTGTGTTGCCTGGCGTGGGTTGTGTTGTGTTGCTTGGCGTGGGTTGTGTTGTGTTGCCTGGTGTGGGCTGTGTTGTGTTGACTGGCGTGGGTTGTGTTGAGTTGCCTGGCGTGGGTTGTGTTGTGTTGCCTGGTGTGGGCTGTGTTGTGTTGACTGGCGTGGGTTGTGTTGTGTTGCCTGGCGTGGGTTGTGTTGTGTTGCCTGGCGTGGGTTGTGTTGTGTTGCTGGCGTGGGCTGTGTTGTGTTGACTGGCGTAAGTTGTGTTGTGTGGCGTGGGTTGCGCCTGGCGTGGGTTGTGTTGTGTTGCCTGGCGTGGGTTGTGTTGTGTTGCCTGGCGTGGGTTGTGTTGTGTTGCCTGGTGTGGGTTGTGTTGTTGACTGGCGTGGGTTGTGTTGTGTTGCCTGGCGTGGGCTGTGTTGTGTTGACTGACGTAAGTTGTGTCGCACTGACTGGCGTGGGTTGCGCCACGTTGCCTAGCATAGGTTGTGTTGCATTGCCTGGCGTGGGTTGTGTTGTGTTGCCTGACGTGGGCTGTGTTGTGTTGCCTGACGTGGGCTGTGTTGTGTTGCCTGGCGTGGGCTGTGTTGCATTGCCTGACGTAAGTTGTGTTGTGTTGCATGGCGTGGATATCACATATAGCACTGCGTTATCAATCATCGCAAAAGTTTATTTCTTTAATTTTATTCTGTTTTCTAATATCAACCACAATAGCTGGTTATTTTTTATTATATTTAGACTTGTTATCTTAAAATTCTAATGTTATCGGTTATCTTACAAAGTTTGAATCAATATAACCGCTAAATTTCTGTACCGTATCGTTATTCCTGTAGTGTATTATACGTGTGATTTACTCTTTGCGTTACACTCTGTATTTGTAGTTTCGCGTGATTTAGTTTTTGAATCTTTTTATTTTTGCTTCATTTTATTTTTATTTTATTTTTTTGTATAATTGAATATCATGAATTTATTTTAAACTGCCTTTTGTTTGGCATCACATTCTTGTATACCTGTACATCATTTTGTTTTAATATCATTCTATATTGGTATGATTACAGTAGGTGTTATCATTTTGTGTGTCATTCTACATTTCTAAATTCGTATCTTTCTTTACTGGTATAAATATGTACTTACATTATTCTATATTCTTAGTATTTCATTTATTTATATGTAGTGTTATTCTCTTTATCATTCTGCATTGGTATATGTCTTCGTATCTTTCTTTACCGGTACGATAATATATTTATATCATTCTCTATACTGCTTATCATTCTATCTTCATGTCGTTCTATGTTTATCTTTTGGCATAACCTTCAAATATATGTTCGTGTAGGATGTACCGCTTGAAACATTACTTGAGGGTCAATTATGGAACGTCACTCTCTCTCTCTCTCTCTCTCTCTCTCTCTCTCTCTCTCTCTCTCTCTCTCTCAGTAATCTATTCTCTTATAATTAACCCGTAAACAGGCGCCAACACAGAACGTGACGTGCATGAACTGCGACTGACTTAAAGGAGAGACGTACAAACTACCTATCAATGGTGGTCAGCCAAAAAACAAAAAACAAATGAGCAACACGATCCGTAACACATATAGTTGTTATTGTTATTATCGCCGTTTACTGCTATAGATGGAAGTATATAGTTTAGGGTGATAGTTCAGTTGGGTAAAGAGTAATATAGTAATTAGTAAGGATATATATTTTTTTTTTTTTGCGCTTTTAAAACAATAGGAAAATTTGGGTTGCTCTTTTAAAGGTGAAATATATCACTCACCTGGTCTTTAAAATCAGTGGGAAATATATACTGTATATCTTTTCTGCTTTATTTTCAATGTTTATGTTAAGTTAATTGTTCAGGTGTAAATTGACTAGATTTGATATATAGATTGGTAGATGTGTAAATAATTATCAGTAATGGTAAATAAATTGTGTGTGTGTGTGTGTGTGTGTGTGTGTGTGTGTGTGTCATGTATAAAAGGAATTTGGTGTTATCAGTTCTTATGGCGGCCACTCAGAAACCAGTCGTGTGAAAGAGGTCGGCCACTGTAGATCTCGGCCACTGTAGATCTCGGTCACTGTAGAGCTCTGCCATATGAGACTATGCTCACACTAGAACAATCACTCTACGAGATTAGCCATACACAACATAACCACACAAGGAGGAATATTAACCATAGTCTCTCTCTCTCTCTCTCTCTCTCTCACTTGAGAAAAATTACAATCGTGACGTGCCTTATCATTCTCCATTCGTGTCCCTGTGTGTGTTTTTACCCCTCCCTCCATGGCGGCGTTTCCTCTGCCTTCTTCCGGCACAATTAGGAAACTCACTTATCACTGTGAGACCTGCCTGAACAAAAAAGACTCACAGACGGTATGGTGCAGCGAGGGTCGGGGAGAGGGAGGGTGTTGAGAATGGGTGGGTGGGTGAGTGGGTTTGAGGTAGTGGGTGGGTGGGTCTTGAGGTTGGATGAGTGGGTGTTGAGTGGATGGATGGGAGGTGGGTGTTGAGTGGATGGGTTGGGAGGGTGGGTGTTGGAGGATGGGTGGGAGGGTGAGTGGTGAAGATAGGTGGGTGGGTGGGTCTTGAGAGTGGGTTTTGAAGGTGGGTGGAGGTAACTGCTGAAAGACTTCAAGGGACCTTCCATGATTTTAATGATTTGTGGTTGAGGAAAGAGAGAGAGAGAGAGAGAGAGAGCGAGAGAGAGAGAGAGACCAGGAAGCACCCAAGAAGGAAAATTATATAAAAAAAAAGTGATAAGACGCGCGATGAAAGAGAGGAAGAGAGATTGAGAGAATGGAACTGACGATGAGAGAGCGAGGACAGATGTGCCAGAAAGAGAAAGAGAGAGAGGATAATATGGCAGGAGGAGAAGAGAATGAAGTAAGAAGAAGATTGAAAAAGAGAGAGAATAGGAGAATAACACAAAAAAGACAATAAGAGTGTCAGGAAAAGACGGAGGAGGGAGGTGACAAGGAAACAGAGAGGAGGAGGAGGAGGGGGAGCAGAGAGAGAGAGAGGGGGGGGGGGAGTTTAGCACCAGAGAAAGAAAGAAAAAGGAGCTAGAGAGAGACAGACAGACAGACAAGTAGAGAGAAGGAAAGAAAGAGAGACAAACAAACAAGCAGACAAAGTGAAAGGAGTTTAACACCATAGAATCCTAACTCTCCTCCTCTTACGTATTTTTCTCTCTCTCTTTTGCTTCGTAACTTAATATTTCCTTGTTTATTTCACTCGCATTCTGTATCTTTCATTTTTCTTTCTGTTTATTTTTTTTCTTAATTTTATATCAGTAATTTCACATTATTTTTTCTGTATGTTTGAAATGGTACCTTCATACATGTGTGTGTGTGTGTGTGTGTGTGTGTGTGTGTACGTACGCCATATTCCCCTCTCACATGTCCGTCTATACATTACAGAGACGGAGCCACCGACGCCAGCACCCACCAACCCTCCGTCTTATCTGGACAAACTCTTCAAAGGTAAATAACACTACTAGTCAGGTCAGGTCAGGTCAAATTGTTATCGCTAAACTCTACATAAAGTCATACATCACAGGAATCTTAAGTGTCTGTATTGTGGCCCATACTTCCCCTGGGACTCTTGCTAATTTATATGTAAATAAATACTTTTTTGTGTATGTGTCTGAGGTTTATGTTTTGTTAAAAAAATCTTAAATACACACACACACACACACACACACACACACACACACACACACACACACACACACACGGCAGGAGGACGCATCGGGTGAAATTTAAGATTTGTGATGAAAATATGCAAATAGAAATTACAGAGTAGATAAGATGTCGCTAAATTACATTAAGGTGCTGGGACTAGGAACATACAGGAGAAGAAGCACTCAGGTGTTGGAAGACGTGCGGGTAACGTGTCCCTGAGCTGAGAGTCGCTCCGAAGACTTCCTACGTTAACAGACGAGCCAAGTAATGTAGTGGGTGGAAGAGTGTAGATAAATAATGTTGTGGAACATTTTGTATCTTAAAGACTTGACCCGATATTTTTTTGTGTGTGTATTAAGAAACGTTCTTAGGAAGGAGGGAGGGAGGGAACATTTGTGACCTGTGGGACATTCTGGAAAGGTGTTTGAGTCCACGATCATCCTGTACCTGAGAAATTATTATAGGGAGAACCATTGGGCTGGGACATAGTAGGGCGGTTCGGTATTTGAAGAGACGTTCTAGTGAAGGGAGGTTGAATCTGGAGGTCTTAGTTGTTGGAGGTTTCAATCTTTGAAAGGACATTCTGTGAATCTGTGAAGTTTTAAACCATTTGGACGTGGTAAGGGGACAGTCAGGGGCTTAAAACATGGTCTACGAACCTCCAGTGCTGCTGGTGACACGGTTGTAAAAACACGCCATCTGTCTCATTTAAGTCACCGACAGTTGCACGTTGTTCCTTGAGTGGAAACAACTGGTTCCCCCACGTTCCTCCTGTCAGTGGGTCCGATGGTGTTGCTGTTATCTAAAGTTCACGTGCAATAAGATAACCAACTGAAAATGATTAATGTAGCCTCTCAAAATAGGTTTATCCACTGCATCAGAATTTCTGGTCAGGGGCGATCAATAAGCAACAGTTGAGACCAGATGGTTAACATTGATGAGGAGTAACACCAAATATATCCAGGACCTGTATTCTCGAAGATTTCTGTGTTGATTTTCCCGTAAACAGGAATATTCATAAGGTAATATAAGCAATTACAGTAGAATTTCGTTACAATTCCATCGCTATTTTGGTCACCGTTGCAGTTCCGTAACTTAACTGAGCCAGTTAAGTGCGTTTTCATATTTTTCAGCGAGAGTAAAGGTTGACGTTTACGAATATTTAAGACTCCAGGCTTAAATGTAGTCTTCGTAAAATCAGTCGTAACTCGAGGGAAAGTTTGTCTCGTAAGCTGGCAGCTTTAGTGGCTGTACTTTTAATAAGCTGAAGACCCACTCGTCCTGCTCCCTCCGCCGGCCCCTCGCATATGATTTATCGCCAGGCTTTATTAAACGCTCATGAAGGCTGGTGCTGCATATCACCGTTACGTTCCATGAGGGGCGGTACCCCCCATGAGGAGGTTCTCCCCCCAGGACCGGCATCCTCATGACAGTCATCGGCAACAGGAGGGGCGAGGTGCACATGTGGAGTATCGTTCATCAGAGAAGTCGAGTTATCATGAGAAGTGATGCTTCCTCGGGTAGCGGCTACCACAGAGAGATGACGTTCACTTGATGGGCAGTATTAGGCTGTGTCCCGCAAACTAGTAAGTAGGGTGCACGCGCATGTGTGTGTCGACGCGTTGCTTTGTTTGAGAGGACAAGTAAAAGTATTATAGTTAACGTGCCTCGTGTAGAAGCGTACAGCGTTATCTTGCTACCAGGAAGCACCACTCACACTCTGCAGCAGCCGGTTGAAAGTGGTGGCCAGTGATTTGATCAGTGTTTCCTCAGCTTCTTATATTTAAACTATTGTTGTGTTTACTGGATACTATTACTAGCCCTCCATCCATGAATGACACAAAAGGGGTGAGGCACAACACTGACAAAACACATCTAATGCAACTCTTGTAGATTATCGAGATATTATTTCAAGTGGTTACTGAACATCACACATGACTGAGCCAGCGTGAGGTATAATATTAACACTTGACATCTCAGCACAGGTTAAAGGGTCAACATGTGAACAAAGAACCAGCAGATATGAAATTATCTTATAATATTTGATATACATTTACGTGTGTGTACAGTATATATATCCCAGGTCATGATCACAGTCGACAGCTACAACTATCTATATAATAACAGGCAGCCGCGTCAGTGTCGTAACTCCATCATGTGTTTCAGACTTCCACTACAAGACAACCAACAGTGTGGCGGGTAAAGGCGAAGGAGACAAGTTGAATCTGGATGCCCAGGGAGAGCTTGGCGAGGAGGACAACGAGCTCCTGCGTGCGGAGGACCTGGGAGAGAGGGAGAATGTCGACCAGATGGGAGGAGAACGGGAAGAAGAGAACGGAAGGAGGATGGACGGAGATAGACAGCATGAGAGGGGACGACAGGAACAGGAGCGGGGGCACTACTTCACCACCATCTTCAACGCCGCTCCTGTCGGTGAGAAGTGTAGCGATAGCGGTAACCAGGACGGTGATAGACAGGACGGTGGTAGACAGGACGGTGATAGACAGGACGGTGGTAGACAGGACGGTGATAGACAGGACGGTGGTAGACAGGACGGTTATAGATAGCCATGGTGTTTGATGCAGATATTGCTAAACAGGGACGATGTTGGACGGGGGACAGTGACAGACAAATATGATTGACGGTGTGAGACGGGCTGAGACGTTGGTAATCAGAGACTCTGTTAGACGTTAATGATGTACACAGATAGTGGTAATAGACAGAGATGATGAACAAGAGAAAGGGGTCGACAGGGATGAAAGTGGATGGAGACGATGAATGAAAGTAATAGATAGAAACGAATATAGACGGCGATAAACAGTAAATAGACGATAAAATAAGATAACAGGAAAGGGTGTATAGAGAAGAGGATGAAAAGAAGAATAACAGACGAAGCAAGGGTGGAAGAGAAGGAGAGAAAGAGTGAGAGTGAGTAAGAGGCGGGACTAATGAGAGCATTATCTTGGTAATGTGTTTAACGAGGGACCTCTGGTGAGAGAAGCTCCTCGAACACAACATTGGAACAATTCTGTACCAGGAGTGAAGGTTAACTTATCTAAAGCAACCGGAAATTCAAATAAAGGTACTTGTAAGGATTTTTAAATTATCCCCTTGAGTACGTTGACTAATTCCTTGAGTACGATGACTTAACCCTTAGAAAACGATGACTTAACCCAAGTACGCTGACTTAACCCCATGAGTACGCTGACTTAACCCCTTGAGTACAATGACAACCTCATGAGTACGATGACATAACTTTATAATATCATCTTTCTCGCGGGAGTAGACCATCGTACTCAACTGACTAAAACAAATATTGAGAAAATCAGACATTTTATTCAAGGGAGTCATCGTACTCTGATGGATGTCTTACTCAAAGGACCAATTCATTTTACTGAGAAAGTTGGTATTGTAGCCATCGTTAAATACAGGTACAGAATTACCAATGGGGTAAACGTATCATTAATTTATGTATTCAACTTCTAGACTACCCTGTATCGGTGACGTCACACTTCGAGTAAAGTGTTCATTTTTGTATCCCCTACTTAGCTGTCATGGATATTTACTCATGAACGCCATACAACTCCCAAAATTATTTATCAAGATAAAAGTGGGCGTTACCTTTGTAAATTTGTTCCAAAATATATATATATTAGTTCCCTTGAAAGACTATAGTTAGAGGATTTTTTTTTTATCATACACTCATGTTCAGTAATATGTATTAGTCCAGGTGATAATCTACGCAATGTGTTCGTTTTCTTTGGTGCAGGTCGGGAGGTGCGGGTGTCCCTGCAGCTGGTGATGGTCGGCGCCGTTGCCCTCCACTTCAACTTGCTCTTGTGATGAAGAGGACTTCCGATGCATAACTCAAGTTTCCGAATTGTGAATAACCCTAGCTAGAGTTTCCATGACATGGGATAATAGTCATTGTTTCTCGCTCTCTCATGGTTGTCATTTTTTTTTTTGAGTGAAGATAATGGTGCGATAGGTAGGCCTACTGTGTACCATAGTGTAGAGTCGTGGAAAAACGTTATACCCATTTTTCCGAACTCTCAGAAAAGCGGTTAATAATTTACTTGTCTTGTGCTAACCTGTCAGAAAATACATAGTAGCAACACGAGTTGTATAATACTGCTGATAAGAATACTTGTTGGCAATAACTAGTTACTTCTGCAAAGAAATTATAATGACTTAATCTTCACTCAGTTAGGAAACAGTCACGTGGTTGAGGCTCAGCTCCCGGACAACAATAGCATATCAACCATCATGGGAGGACTAAGCTCACCCCTTACAAACAATGACGACGTATTCAACCCATGACGTACATTTAACACAGCACATGACACACTCAACCCATGGTGCATTCAACCTATATAACCCACACTTAAAAAGGCACATAACATACTCAACCCATGATGCATAATACACTCAGCCGTTAACGTACACACGACCCTTGATCATACTAAACCTTGGACACGCTCTAACGGTCTAACCCAAATCCACGACGCACGCTCAATCAGTTACGCACTCAACCAAAGCCACACAGCCAAGTACCACACACATACACACTCAATCCATGCTTCAATCAACCAAAAATCCCACTTAACCTAACCTAACCCAACAATCACTTTGAGCAAACTCAATTCATTCATGACCTCGTATTGAACGCAAATTACTTTAAACCAAGCCACACCGAACTACTAATACTTGCTTAAACGACGATACATTCTCCCCACGCCTTCCTCAACTCAAGGCACACTTCTTCCTTGGTACACTGACCCTAGCCTGAGATATTATGCTGAAAATTTTATGCCTGCCTGATGTATTTATTATGAAGTGAAGAAATACAGCTAATGGAAGGCCAGATTGTTTGGGTTGGCATATCTGACAGGAAAGTGTGTGTGTGTGTGTGTGTGTGTGTCTGTCTAGCCTGGCGTTTTGTGGTTGGTGTTTTTCCCGGTGCTGGCGTGATCTTTGGTTGTGTGAGTTCAAGGCAGTGATGTGTGTGTGTGTGTGTGTGTGTGGTGATGGGTGTCGTGGTGTGTGACTTCAACGCTTAAAGATGTTTTGTGGTCGGTTATAACTCGAATCAGGACTGTACATATTTTAAAATCTTTGACCACAAAAAGATATAAATAAACTCCTATTCAATCATATCCTACGACTTAACAGGTTTATGTATGGTGTAGATAAAGCTATTTCAGGTCTGTCACCTCGACAGTCTCATATTGTAAATATACTATTAGTAGCCATTATATATCATATGTACAGAGTTGTATTAAAGTTATAAAGTAACATGAAGGAGCAGAGCGGCAGCTTTGGGGTTTTTAAGCATTTACGAAGGTTTCATGAACCTCTTAGAGATTCCCATGGCGTCAGTAAGGGCTAAGGGCTATTCAAAACTTCCCAATGTGTCAAGAAGACCCAACAAGTTTCAAATGGTTTCTGGTGATGTTAAGAGGACAGAGTTACAGTCAGGCAGCTCCTGGTGACATTAACAGGAACTCTGTAACATTGAGACACTTTCCAGTGATGCTTTAATGATTTACGTAAACACTAAGAGGTTATCAGCCCCCCAGGACACCTCTGTTGCACTGTGAAATAATTATCTCTGTTTTTTTGTGTGTTTTGCGATTCCTGCATTGCGTATGTGGTAAAAATTCTGGCGTCCTGCTCACCACATGGTCACACATTGTATGATGTAGTTGTTTTTTATATGCTAAGTTGTGCCGCAAGGTGGCGCTTACTGAGGACGCAAGGTATCACAACCAACAATAATTTCACCTTTCACACATGCCGGTAAGGTTAGTTATCGTTTCTTTTCTTGTATATTTTGGTTTCATACATTTCGCCTGTTAGTATTTTGTTATGTTTTAAATAACTTTCTGTTTTCATTATTTTCCACTCTACAGTTCACCACCATTCCATAACTATTAACTGTGTCTTGTTACCTTATGGGGGAGCCAAAATATGTTTAAATTGTGTGATTACTTTTATACGTTAGACTATTTGTTATTTTTCCTCCTGCTTTTCTGCTTCATGGAAGACTCAACGATCTTCCCATCAATCGCAGCGAAAAGTTTTGGCTGTTAATATAACTAACCAACGCAGTGGTGGATCCAGGGAGGCTGAAAGAGTTTTAGCCCACCATTGACCCATTGTATTATATAGGGCATTAAGTAAGACTCATGTAATGACTGTCTATTCTCTTAAACAATTACTACTCACAGAACCTTAAACATCCGCATTGTGGTTTACGTGTTAAGTGTTATTTTTTATGACGAGAACACCTCCTCCCCATCAGCCCCCAATACATCTTTTTTAGGCCCGCCACTGTAACTAATCTTATGGTATTGTAATCCTCTGAGGGGTATTCAAGGCCTGAACACAGTAAAAGAAACAATCTAAGACGATATTCAAATATTACTCATAAGCTTGCCAACCTGAGAATTTTTTAGATTATATCAAATAGAGAATATATATATATAAATATACATGTGGTGTGTGTGTGTGTGTGTGTGTGAGGCACAACCTGTGCACCGCGATAAAACATTTAAGAATCCTGGTATTAGATCATACTCTTCTGAAGTACAGGTTCTACTCGGGTGCTCTGGTGTGTGTGGTGGTGAGAATAACAGTATATCACAGAGGGATACGTACTGTACACAAGTACATTTTGGGTAATTTACGGGTGTGTGGCTAGACGCCTCAGCTATGTCGATTCTTCTTAGTTAAAGGCGTTATTTTCATTGTCTCTCCAGAATGACTATAAATATATATATATATATATATATATATATATATATATATATATATATATATATATATATATATATATATATATATATATATATATATAAAATGGTAACTTTGTGATCTCTCAAATCTCAGAAGATAAACACCATCTGACGGGTCCTCCTGACGGTGACGGCGGCCGGACACCCCTGATAGCGGTGACCTGTATACACCTCAACTCAACCCCAAGTCGTCACTCCGCTGCCGTTGTTTTACCCCGCGACGCTTCACCCTCCCGAACACAACTAACCTGATCCCTAACTCCCACTGATTCACAAATTCATTTTCCCGCATTTGGTGAAGAAAGAATGTATCTAATTCCACTAGAGTCTCAGTGCAATTTTGACTTCCATCTTTGTGTGACAATTAAGAGAGCCACTGAGATATGTTAAGGTAAAAATATTATATACGAACCTGAGAGAATCTGCGCCCAGGCAATAACGGCGGGCAAATCTCTGTGAGAAGGCTTGGTGTGGGGATTATCAGAGACAATGTCATGAAAAGGGAAGGAATTTATTGAACCAATCGGCGACGGGAGGCGTTAGTTGTTGTTGACGTGACGTGCTGGAGGATATAGATTATCATATCGAATACTTTACAACTAATGACTGTCTGTGTGTGTGTGTGGAAATGTGTATGTGACTGTGGTATACTGGGCGTGATTGTGTGTGTGTGTTTTGCGAATGAATTTTGTTATTTGTGACTGAATATATATATATATATATATATATATATATATATATATATATATATATATATATATATATATATATATATATATATATATATATATATATATATATATATATATATATATATATATATAAAGTTTCTCTGAAAAAGTTGACGCTGCACATCACAGTATGGTGATGGACTTGGCAATATCTACCATGTATAAAAAAGGAGCAAAGTCTCAGAAATACATTCATTTTGTTCCATTATTATACTACAGCTTGTATAATACAAGAATCATAACAACATATATCCATATTATCACATGGATTTTTAGCGAGTTTTTGTATGAAAATAAATATAGGATGTTGTTCTAATAGATTAATGTATATTTTTCTTTCTGAAAATAGTTAACTCTTAACATCTGTTTAAAGCTTACATGGACAAAGATTATGTACTAAGTGTTATGTGTTATGAGTGAAATTTTTGAATAAATATTAAAGAAACAACATTTGGTCTTTTTTTTCCCTTGGTGTCAATAAGAGAGTGTGTGTGTGTGTGTGTGTGTGTGTGTGTGTGTGTGTGTGTGTGTATGTGTGTATGTGAAACTGTTATACACTGATGAATTTATACAGAGATGTAAGACTCCCGCAGTTCTTTAAGGAATACTTTACCATTGGTTTCTTTCACTAATGAACAGAACATTTAGCCAAATATGGAATACAATCATGCACTACAGAGGCGTTATTGTTTTTTATTATATATTTACTGCCCTAATGACTCTAGAAATAATTAAGTCAATTTTACAATCCTATCACCTTCCTATTGTAATTTTTCCATCTTGATTTATTTATTGCCTGTACTGTATTCTGGACATAGACATTTATTTTAAATTTCATGAGAATATTTTCGCCAAAAATACCATTCTGGTCAATATCCTGAAAATTTTTATTTTGTTCAAACTCGCAATATACTGTACAGTGGGTACTCGTCAACACACGGATTTAGGAAACCAGGGTAAAAAGTTTTTATTATAGTGATTAGTTTTGTTAATAATGCCGAGTTTTTATGTTTATTATTATTATTATTATTATTATTATTATTATTATTATTATTATTATTATTATTATTATTATTATTATTATTATTATTATTGTGAGAAAATACATTTGGCGTCGGAACAATTTATGTAATTAGATACTGTATTCACTTCATTAATTATCTATTTGAAAATAATGAAACATAAAACCAAAGACAAATACTGTACATACGCCTCAATTATTGGCTGGTTAAGTCAGGTTCTACGGGGGGTTGATAACTCCAAAAACGACTCATTTGCGACGGAAATGAAGGTCAAATTTGATTGAATCACACCAAATACCATGAGAAAAACAAGAATTTATGATCGAACAGTAGGGGCTGAAACTGAAAATTTACCGTTCTCTATTTACTTAGAAATAATCGAACCTCAAATAAACCCCATCTGTTATGATATTGTTATTACACCATCAGAGTTTGAGTGGAGTGGTGAGAGGAGAATATACCTGAACTCAGAGCGGCTTGATGTGGTGTACCTGGATTGTTCTAAGGCCGCCCAGGTGCAGGAGCGTTGTTGGTGTTGATTACGTGTTTTAGTACACAGTGGGTGAGTATGGTGTATTGGGTCTGTTTAATATGGAGGGGTTACTGTTTCTGTATCTGCGGGTAAATTATGATGTCGTCAAAGTATTCCTGCTATCGTGGGTGTGTTGTTAGGAGGTTTAATATCTGTTTGTCACCTAATAGTCTCCAGTAGATGTTGAGTGGTGGATTGTTGCTGTGTTCATGTAGGTGTTCGTTTGTAGTGAAGGATGTCCAGTGTGTGTGTGTGTGTGTTGTGTATGAACCTCAGTGATTTATTCTGCATGACTTGTAGTTTCTTGATGTTGGTTGGTGCTGCTAACTAGAGTTCGTTGGGTGTGCATGGTAATGGGGCGTATTAATGCTTTGTATGCCTGTGAGTGTTTTTTTTTGTGTGTGTGCTGTTGCTGTCTTCATGATGATGTGGTGTTTCATGGTGAGGGTGTGGTCGGATGTACTCTGTTTGTCTGTGTTATTAGTATGGGTGTTGGGTTGTTGGTGTATGGGTCCAGATATATGTGGCGAGGTTGATGTCTTTTTATGCCAAAGTAGGTGATTTGTGATTTATTGGAATTTGTTTGCATACGCCATTTGAGTTCCCACTTTGTGAACTCTCCGTGGGTTTTTTTCTTCTTTGTAAGGTAATCTAGTGGTTCCGTGTCTGACTAGTTGTGTTATGTCGTCGGCGTACAAGTCGGTATGCATGGGGTCAGGCAGGTCATTGGTGTAAAGTATGTATAGTGTTGGGGAGAGGACTGAGCTTTGTAGAACTCCTGCATTCAGTCGGAAGTAGTCTGAGTTTTCTTGTTTGAATTTAATTCTCATTTGTATATCTGTTAGGAAGTTGCTTGGGAGTTATTGTGATTTTTGGGGGAGGCTGAAGTTTGAGCATGTATTGTAATTTAGTCCGTCGTGCTAGACTGTGTCGAAAGTTTTTTGTAAGTCTCATTCAAGATTCTCCGAACACTGCTGGAGACAGCTGGCAACTCAAGGCCGTTTGTTTACTATAGTACGTAGTATAATATAATACGAAACAACAAAGCCCTACCATTAAATTAAGCAACGGGGAACTAAGTAACCAATCACCCGATCACTTTTACATTTATTCATAATTTTTACTACGTACTATAGTAAACAAACGGCCTTGAGTTGCCAGCAGCGTTCGAAGAATCTTGAACGAGATTGTAAGTACGTCTTTGGCGGTGAATGCTGTTTTGTATGGTCCCTTGTTCATGTGGAGGTAGTTTGTAATTAAGTTCAGTGCGTCCTGTGTGGAGTGTTGTGCCCTGAATCCAAACTGTTTGTGTGAAAGCAGTTCTTCGTCTTCAAAGTGGTGCCTGAGGCGTTCGTTGTATAATTTTTCAAACGTCTTGCCCAAGACCTCTAGGAGGCTGGTGGGTCTATAGTTTTGTGGGTCTGTGTGGTGGGAAAGTATCCTGTAACAAGTTTAGTGTTGTAGAGGCATGTGATGGCTGTGACTGTTTCTGGGGGTAAGTGTTTAAGGATTTGGTGTCCTGTGTTGCTTTCGCCTGATGTTTTCTTCTTTGTTCGTCGAGTGCTTGTTTGACTTCTATTAGGGTGAATGGTACAGTGAGGATGTGTTCTTGTGTGAGAGTGGTGGTGTCTATAGTGTTTTCTGGTGTGATTCTGTCGTGTAGTGTTTGTGCGGTGATGTTGTTTATGTGGTTTAGGATGGATCTGTGTTGGGTTGGGGGTGTGGGTGCAAGATGTGTTCCCAGTGTTGTTTTAATGTATGTGCTACTTCAGCTGGCTCTGATCCGTCTGCCGTTAACTAGCAGAAAATCGAAGGGGGCCTGGGCTGTCCCCCTGAGTTTGGCAATTCTTTGTCAGAATTTTTGGGGGGTTATGTGTCCTGTGCTCCTGAACGGCTTCTACGAGGCCTGCTCAGTGCACGTCGTGGTCGTAACTGAGGTTAAGGATAACGTGTCTTCTTAGTGTGGTGATGTCTCTTTGTACTGGTACGAAGTTGTGAGAGCGCTTTGGTATGTGTGTGCGTCTGCTGCGTTTGTCATTACGTTAAAGAGTTGTGTCCATGTTTCCTCTTTTTTCCTTGTTGGTTGGTCTTCGAGGTTAAGTGTGTGTGTTGTTCGGCTAATGTGGATTTGAAAGTGTCCCAGTCTGCGTCTTGGTGTTGATATTATGATGCAGGTGTTGGGATCAGGATGGGGTTGTTGGAGAGTTGTAGTGTGGTGGGTATGTGATCTGAGTCTGACGGGGGCCTGGTGAAATGTAGTGTTGAAATTGAAGAGCTAATGTGTTTGTGATGACTATGTCTGGGGTGTTTCTGCCAGGTCCAGAGCAACATGTAGAGGAGAAGCTTTACACTCATATAACATGGGTGATAAGGTTGTGCACTTTGGTATTACCATCAACCACGGACCACAGGATGTCTCTTTTACCTTTGCCAGGTGGTGCCCGTCCCCTTTATCTTTGATGTAGTGCCCGTCTCCTTTACGGTTGCCATGGTGCCCGTCTCTTTGACCTTTGCCTTGTCAAGCGGCGCTCGTCTCCTTGGCCTTTGCTTATTGTAGTATCTATGATCCGTATCAACAAGTTCACCGATCAAAAATATACATACGACCCATAGGTCCGATGAAAATTTGAATGAGAACCACAAAAAGTTCTCGAGCGCTCTAAGGGTCATGCAATAACAAACGAACGAGAAATATGAACATTGCTCTCTGTGAAAGTTTTATTGCAAATTCAA